AAGGACTTCAACTCCCAGAATTCCCCAGCCAGCTTGTTTAAGTAATAAGGACTTCAACTCCCAGAATTCCCCAGCCAGCATGCTTTAAGAGGGGAGGACCTCAGCTCCCAGAATCCCCCATGTTGCATACTCAGTTTAAACAGCTTAAGCTCGGTGCAAATGTTACAAACTATGGCCTTGAGCTGGCGGGGGGGGGGGGGAGGGAATTGTGAAGTTGGCACACCTACCCCATGTGTGCAATTCTCTTTGATCCCCTCCAGTGGTTTTCTCCCGAAGGCTTCCGGACTTTGTTCGCCCTGGTTGGGACCAACGGACAAGGCATAGGGACCAGGTAAGTCCAGGGTACCAATTTAATAAAGTCGAGGGTACAAATTTAATAACTGCAGACAGTCCTGCATTAACAGAGGGACAGAATCAAGATCACGTGAAGTGTTAATACCACGTTACAAGGCCTTGGTAAGGCCACACCTGGAATACTGCATCCAGTTTTGGTCACCACGATGTAAAAAAGACGTTGGAACTCTGGAAAGAGTACATAGAAGAGTAACAATGATGATTAGGGGACTGGAGGCCAAAGCATATAAGGAAAGGGTGCTGGAATTGGGTATGTCTAGTTTAATGAAGAGAAGGACGAGGGGGGCCAGGTTAGCAGCCTTCCAGTATCTCAGGGGCTGCCCCAAAGAAGAGGGAGTCAAGCTATTCTCCAAAGCACCAGAGGTGCAGGACAAGAAGCAACGGATGGAAACTCATCAAGGAGAGAAGCAACCTAGAACTAAGGAGAAACTTCCTGACAGTTAGAACAATTAACCAGTGGAACAACCTGCCTCCAGAAGCGGTGAATGCTCCCACACTGGAAGTTTTTAGGAAGAGACTGGACAGCCATTTGTCCGAAATGGTATAGGTTTTCCTGCCTGAGCAGGAGGTTGGACTAGATGACCTCTAAGGTCCCTTCCAACTATTATTATTATTATTATTATTATTATTATTATTATTATTATTATTATTATTATTATTATTATTATTATTATTATTATTATTATTATTATTATTATTATTATTATTATTTAGTGACTGTTCAAAGTTACAACAGCACTGGAAAAAAGTGACTTAGGACCGTTTTTCACACTTATGTAATGTTAGGAAGCATTATGGCTAGCCCTCGATTTACAACCGTCGATTTAGTGACCGTTTGACGTTAGGGTGGCACTGGAGAAAGTGACTTAGGACCCTTTTTCACACTTAATGACCGTTGCAGCATCCCTGTGGTCACGTGATCCAAACTCGGACGCTGGGCAACTGACTCACATTTATGACGGTCACGTGTCCCAGGGTCGTGACTCCCTTAACTACGGCGGTGATTGGCTTAAGAGCTGTGGCCAGAAAGGTCGTAAAAATGGGGCAAAAACTCCCGTAACGAGCGTCGCGCTCGTTCCTAAGCAAGGCCGTGAGTTTTGCCCCGTTTTGTGACCTTTCCTGCCATTGTCGTTAAGTGAATCAATGCAATTAAAGTTAGTCCCAATGGCCTCCCCATTTTCAGGGCTGTTGTAACTTCGAACAGTCACTAAATGGACTGACGTAAGTCGAAGACTACCTCTGTGTATGAAGGAAATAAATTGGAGTAACCTCTGTTTATTCCTGCATTTGGGGATTACATGTTCTAGCTTAGGGGTGTCCAATCTTGGCAACTTTAGTACGCATGGACTTCAGTTCCCAGAATTCCTGGCTGGCTGGATAGAATAGAATATAGAATAGAATAGAAATAAGAATGGAATAGAGTAGAATAGAAATAAGAATGGAATAGAGTAGAATAGAATAGGAATAGAATAGAATAGAATAGAATAGAATAGAATAGAATAGAATAGAATAGAACAACAGAACAGAACAGAATATTATAGAGAATAGAATAGAATAGAATAGAATATAGAATATAGAATAGAATAGAAATAAGAATGGAATAAAATAGAATAGAAATAATGGAATACAATAGAATAGAATAGAATAGAAATAAGAATGGAATAGAATAGAATAGAAATAAGAATGGAATAGAGTAGAACAGAACAGAACAGAATAGAATATAGAGAATAGAATAGAATAGAAATAGGAATAGAAATAGGAATAGAATAGAATAGAATAGAATAGAATAGAATAGAATAGAATAGAATAGAATAGAAGAGTTGGAAGGAACCTTGGAGGTTATCTAATCCAACCCTCTGCTCAGGCAGGAAACCCTATAATATTTCAGACAAATGGCTGTCCAGTCTCTTCTTAAAAATTTCCAGTGTTGGAGCATTCACCCCTTCTGGAGGCAGGTAGTTCCACTTGTTAATTTTTCTAACTGTCAGGAAGTTTCTCCTTAGTTCTAGGTTGCTTCTCTCCTTGATTAGTTTCCACCCATTGCTTCTTGTTCATGCCTTCAGGCGCTTTGGAGAATAGCTTGACCCCCCCCCNCCCCCCCCCCCCCTTTTCTTTGTGACAGCCCGATTGTAGCCCCAAAGAAATCTAGGGCAGGTTTAGACCCCTGCCCCACTTTTCTGTGGGCTTTCCCTCTCTCTTTCTCCCCCCCCCCCCGCAGCTCCCTGAGTCAGTGGGTCCGCGCCTGCGACGCTCTGGAGCTACCCACGCAAGAACGGGAGCAGCTGGACGCTTTCATAGACCAGCTCTACAAGGACATTGAGAAAGGTGGGCTGGAGACCCCCCACCCCAGCCCCGGGAAGGCCCTTGCCTTGCTGGGGGGAGGGCGGGATGGGTCTTTGGGGGCAGGAGGCTCCCACGGGACTGGAGGGAATGGGGCGACTGCCAGACGTTTGGGGGGGAGATGGGTAGCATCCCCATGTCATGCTGGTCTGAAAGAGCTACTGAAGATCTCCGAGGATCAGAGGGTGAAGGGCTGATCAAATGCTTTCAAAGAGCTCAGAGAGGGGTCCAGACCTTCCTTCCTTCCATCCCTCCCTCCCTCCATCTCTCCTTCCTTTCTTCCTTTCTTCTTTCTCCCTCCCTTCCTTCCCTCTGTTCCTCCAATCTCTCTCCTTCCTTCCTTCCATTCCATCCCTCAATTCTTCCCATCTCCTCCCTCCTTCCTTCCTTCCTTTCTCCCTCTTTCCATCCATCCATTCCTCTTTTTCTTCCCTCCCATGTATTTCCTTCCTTCCATCCATCTATCCATCCCTTCTATCTCTCTTTCCTTCCATCCATCCATTCCTCTTTTTCTTCCTCCCTCCCATCTATCTCCTTCCTCCCTCCCTCCCTTCCCTCCCTCCCTCCTTCGCTCTGTCCCTCCAATCCCTCCTTCCTTCCTTCTCTTCCTCCATCCTTCCATCTATTCCTCCCTTCCGTCCCTTCCTTTCTCTCTCTCTCATTCCTTCCATCCATCCATTCCTTTTTCTTCCTCCCTCCCATCTATCTCCTCCCTCCCTCCCTCCCTCCCTCACACACACTGTCCCTCTAATCTCTCTCTTCTTCCTTCCTTCCCTTCCTCCATCCTTTCCATCTATTCCTCCCTTCCTTCCATCCCTTCCTTTCTCTCTCTCATTCCTTCCTTCCATCCATCCCTCTTTTTCTTCTTCCCTCCCATCTATTTCCTTCCTTCCTTCCATCTATCCATCCCTTCCATCTCTCTCTCCTTCCTTCCTTCCATCCATCCATCCATCCCTTTTTCTTCCTCCCTCCCATCTATCCCCTCCCTCCCTCACTGTCCCTCCAATCTCTCTCTCCTTCCTTCCCTTCCTCCATCCTTCCATCCTTTCCATCTATTCCTCCCTCCCTTCCAACCCTTCCTTTCTCTCTCTTTCCTTCCTTCCATCCATCCATCCCTCTTTTTCTTCTTCCCTCCCATCTATTTCCTTCCTTCCTTCCATCTATCCATCCCTTCCATCTCTCTCTCTCCTTCCTTCCTTCCTTCCATCCATCCATTCCTCTTTTTCTTCCTCCCTCCCATCTCTCCTTCCTTCCTTCTTCCCTCCCTCCCTCCCCCTCCCCAGACAGCCCAAAACAGACCCCCTCCCCTGTGTATCAGAGGACCCACGAGCTCCTCCCTCCTCGCCCTCCGCAGCCCCCAGATGTGCAGAAGTGCCCCCCTAATTCTCAGGGACGGCCATGGATGTGGGGCAGGACCACGAAGGGGGGGGGCAGCTGTTAGAACTTTGCAACTGGGCTTGAAGTACCTTTTTTTTGGGGTGGGGGGGATATCTGTCATAACTTGGGATGGTTGCTAAGCGAGCCGTCGTAGAGCGAGGACTCTCCGACTCAGTCGCTGGGCCTGCTCCGGACGTGGTTCCGGCCACCGTCCGCCTGCCTCCCCTCACCGCCTCTCTCTCTGTCTCTTTGGATGTAGAGACAGGGGACTTCCTGAACTGCGAGGGCTCCGGCCTCTACGTGCTGCAGAGCTGCTGTGAGTAGCCGGGACCCAGCGGATCTCCTGGGCCGGATCTTGGCCGAAGAGGCCGGCCAGGAGCGGCTCCCTCAGCCGGACACCCGTCCTCTCTCTTCCTTCTTGCAGGCAACCACAGCTGCATCCCCAACGCCGAGGCCTCCTTCCCGGAGAACAGCGGCCTCCTGCATCTGAGCGCGGTGGAAGACATCCCCCAGGGAGAGGTGAGGTGTCAACAGGGCATGTGAAGAATTCTAGGTTAGCCACCCTTTCCCTTCCCTTCCCTCTCCCCCCTTTCTCTTCCCTTCCCTTCCCTCCCCTTTTCTCTCCTGTCCTCCCTTCCCTTCCCTTCTCTCTTCCTTTCCTTCCTTTCCTTTC